TTAAAGATAGTAAATATCTGTTATGTTCTGGAACATTCGATCACATCATAAAATAGGGATCTGAACGTTTACCTACTTTTAAGTTATTGTTTGTTCCTTAATTTATTAAATTAAAATACACAAAGATACTAAACATGCACAAACTCTCTTCATAGTACAGCAATTTCACTATAAAAAGCCTTATTCTATTAGAATAAGAAGAATACAGTCTAATTAAGCGAGCCTTTGAGCCGAGATAGCTTTTGCAGCACAAAGAAAATCTTCGCTTAAAGATTTGCATATTAAATAAATATCATAATGCCGCTATAGGAATACATCGAAAACTCGTCGGAATTTTTGGCATGCCAGACTGACATGAGAGTAGTTTTTTAGCGGGAAAATTTGTACGTGTGTGGGTTCGTATGTCTATCCAATATAACGTTCCGTTACAGCTGAACCGATTTTATGGAATTTTATTGAAATTGTTTTTATCCAAGGAGTGGTTAATTTTTTTTATATGATGAGGTGGCAAACGACTAAAAGGCCACTTTTTAGCTTTAATTGTTTGTTTGTTTACAATTCACATTGGATAGTCGAATAGTGCACCGTGTTGGGTTTTATTGTTATTAGAATAATAGTAATCAATAGTGTTTAGCGTATAAATCTTGTGTTACATTAGATTCGCTTACAGAAGTAAATCGACCGCAGAATGTGACCTCACGCCGCCGCGACTGATAAATGTCTGCAATTTTTCATATCTGCGACTGCCAGCCGGCTCGTTTTGTAACATATGTTCGAGTTCCAAATGTCTATTAAAAAATTCATCGTCATTCTTCTGTTACTGTTTTTCATTCCTTCATTTTTTGGCACAAAAGAAAAAATCTTTTACAATATTGTAACAAGAATAATAACAGCAAATTAAAGATCGATTAAGTATGGAAAACTACATCTGGAAGTAATAATTTTGTGGTCGAAGTATTACATCAAACGATAAAGCGAACCGTTTTTAATTAAGTATGCTCAGCTTATAGTTATTAAAGGTTCTATGAGGATGTACTGCTACATTCTACTAACATATTATGAAATAATTTAGACAACAAAGTACAGGTGAATACGTACACAAGGCACAAACTTAATTAGGTCACGCGTCGACCTTTCGCGCATCCTAGTACTCGGCGATGCCACCTTTACTGAATTACGTCAATCTATTCTGCCCTCTACGTACCGACCTTACTTTACCATTATTTTATTTTTAAAACAGGTTTTTTGTTTTAAAGCTGGAATGAAAATCTACTTGTGACATTTTGATAATGTAACATACGTAGTTGTGTAATATCGTCAACTAAAATCATTTTTTTATAACCTTTACAAGAACGATTTTTCTTGGTTTGTCCTTATATGCGAAAGTTTACTTGGATGGACGTTTGTTGGAGTTTACCTCCTAAATCACTACACTTATCTCGATGACTAAAATGTAGAGCATTAGAGGAAGAAAAAGGTTAGTTGATTTTTTTTTATTTCACACAGACTCGCAGGCGAAAGCCATTATGATAAACAAAAATAAATAATAAAACACACCACAAGCGTCAGTGTCAATATCTTCGATGTTAAACAAGACAATTGCATTGTTTAACTCGATTAAGCATTGCGACCGTCTACTATTCTATGGACGTACAAACAGCAGCATGAAAATTAAACTTTATTTTCTCTATAAAATAACTTCGATAGCTTTTACGACAAATTTAGAAGCATGGGCATTGCAAATTTAATCCCCAGTGCGTTGAGTGCGTTGACGTGTAAATATCTAGCGAGCGAGGACGCTACGCTCTACTGACTATGCAAACTCTGTTACAGTTACTTTAACCTTCCTGTTATATTAAACTCTTTACAAAAGTTAACTAGTTAGTAGTACTGCTTGTGTAATACCTAGAGTCTAATTGTACTACATTTCACGTTACAAAACTTATATTGGGGTAAAAAATTTCATACCAAGAGAATGAATCATCTAATAATCATCAGCATTGTAACCACTATGATACTAAAATGTATTCTTAACAATTTAACAATATTGCAACATGCAGTCAACCATGATTTTATGATTCCCAGGAGAAATTATCATGTCAAACTCCATCTAGATGAAGTAATAATAGTTCAAAAAGTTTTAACGAGTTTAACAATAAAATCCTATCAAGCAATTGACACAGTTCCTTACTTATAGGAAGTAATAAAACGGGTTAGTATCGGTAAGTACTCCTGCATCCATTATCTACTTGATCTCGTGTTTTACAAGTTTAAAAATGGAATTGATGGGTTAACTTAACGTTTAACATTTTTTTTCTAATCTAACATTCTTTATAAGTAATTTGGGCCACATCAAATCAAACATAAGCTACAAAATTATTATTCGTTTTAATGAAAAGATTTAGAATAGATTTCAATAAAATAAATGCTTGATGGATAAATATTACTTTCAACAATAAACTTCACTGGAAACTTTTACAATATAAAATAAAATTGTTATCTTCATTCAATTAAAACAAAGTTATATGAAATATCTTGGGAACAAAGTCTTAAGAGTACAGCGACTTTCTAAAACGAATCCTAGTAGTTCATCTCATTCCTTTATTGTTTGTAAGAAACCCGAAGAATGTAGAGATTGGCGATAATAAAAGACAAGAAAACGTGATGTAAAATTTTTGCAAATATAAAGTACAATTTTGCCATTGTAATAGTAAGTACTAAAGTGAAGTTTATTGTAATATTGGCTTTCGCCCGTAATTCCGTTCGCGTGGAATTGAAATAAAAACTAGTCGCCTATGTGTTCCTCCATATTATCATTTGCGTCAATGCCATTTCATCATTTAGCTGTTTAGGCTACAAACTCTAACAAACATCCATACATCTAGACTTTCTCATATATAGTAATCTATCCCGCATCTAAAAAACTAACCAACATACAGTCCATACTACAGAAGATTATCCATAGGTGTTATTACACAACAAAGGTTAGTATATAACTCGTAACCTAATTTTACCTAGAAATTTAAAAGGCAAAGTCTGTTGTTCTTTGCCCGTGAGCTTATATCCGACAGCTAATTACTTTAGCATATTCGCATTACGGCCGCCGCAGCGAACGTGCGGCTGACGGCGCTTTACCGAGCTACGGTGTATTTTAAGCTCGCTTAGCGCTCGTAAATGTAAGCTTTTAGCAATGAAATGGTAACGAAAATGTTTTTTTTAAAAGATTTCTTTAATTAATAATGAACTAAATTTTCTATTAAAAAACAAAAAATACAAATACATGTTACTTTATAGCTAATGAAATGATATATGTCTCAAGATGTTATTTATAGCAATATTATAAAGTGGAAAGATTTGTATTTTTGTATGTATTGGAATAACTCAAAAAACACTTGGCCGATTAAAACAATTCTTTCACCATTAGAAAGCTACGGTATCATTAAGTAACATGGCGAGGGTTTTGTTATTATTTTTTTTAATTTCAAGGGACTAAGTGGCGAGAAACAGCCAGTAATTTATCATTTAGTATTTCGTACTTAATAAATGGAAGATTTGAAAATAGAATCAAATTATTTAAGAGTCTCGTCTCAACTTGTCTTAAATTGGCGTAATATTCAATTTACGGTAATTAATATCAGGTATTGTTAGCAAGAAAACAATATCTGATTGTAATTATTTCTGTTTCTTATTAATAATCTCAAATACAATACACCCGTCAATCTATTCATATTTTGACACTGCCTTCGTTTTGTTTCACAATATTGAAACTTTGTTATACTTATTAAAAATTACTGCGTTTTTACTGTACTTATTTTACTTTTTAACAAAATGCTACTAAAACAGTACAACAGAAATAACATATTATGACTATGAAAGAAAACCACTAGAAATTGAAAAAAATATATTTGAAAACACGAAAAATTCTGTGTTGTTCAGGATTACTTTATCTTTAAAAGAAACGTGAAAAATAATTATTTTCGAATAGAAACGACTTGGGCGTAATTTCCTGATTTACGGATTTAACTAAGCCTGTAATTGCAATGAAGCGTTGTTACGTTAATGCGCAAGCAACTGTGTTCTCAGACAAAACATTGTTCAAAAATTGAATAGAATTGCGTAACAAAGTGAATGATTTTGATTTCTCATAAATAAATGCTAAGTAGATTTATTTATGAACTAATCTCAAAGTATCAGGCATTGTTACAATTACGTTCTATATCCTAGAAAAGGACGAGCATGGCTTTTTTGGTTATTGCCTTTCGTTAACATCATCAAAATTCTGATTTCTGCCTACCTCCAAGTTCAATCAACAAAAGTTTATTGGGTAACTATAAGTACTTAAAGGGGGCTCACACCTTTGACTAAAATATCGTAGAACTGTTGTGCGTTTGTCAATTGTTTCGCAACCAATTCAACAGTTTAGTTGCACAACTAAAAATCGAGTAGTGTGCGCACCGCCATATAAGCTCAGCGCGACTGAACAGTTCTGCGATAGTTTAAACAAAAGTGTGCGTGCGCTCGGAGTCTTTTAATGTTTCAGTTATTTAATCTCTAATCATTATTATCGGCCCTCTATTAATAATAATACGTCATTTAAACAAATTTTATATCCGTGTTAGTTATCTTTGCGAGCAAAATCATTAATAATAATCATGAAGAATATCAAGTGTCTTTTTTCAGCGTCGTATTAATTATATCTACATAATACATTATTGAAAAGGCTTAAGATAATAATGCTTTGATTGGTTTAACATTAACGTTGATATATTAATGCATAAAATAATTTATCTGTCAACTACAATTTTCTTGCAACATGCTCTGCTAGCTTCTTAATACCAACTATACGTTCGCTAAACCCATCAGTTGTTTAAGGATTCTCTTTTTAAATAAATAAAACCAAATTCAATTCAACAATAATAAGAATCTATTAAAATAGTACGATTTATAACAAATTGCCTTTTATTGCGATGCTACCAGTTTAAAAAAAAATGAAACAGATGTCACTCTTCAACAGATCGCATCAAATCTAATACTCTGTCGTACAACAATTCCTTAGCATCGATTGCCCACATGAAATCAATGTGATTAAATAAGGGGTGAGGAACAAGCATTTTGACGCCCGCGCCCAGCTCTTCGTGTAGACGAGTTACATCTTCTGCTTGAGACAATGGATCATTGTAGGTGTAGTGTAAAAATGTGGGTATTTTGATATTTCCCAAGTTATATCTGGGTGGCCTGCGAGTGCCATATGTGACCATGTTCCGCATCCACCCGTGATCGTAGCGACGGAACTCTCTACCGGCGATACTCTGCCCATAATGCACAAGCTGTCTAGCTGCCGCTCCTGCGGGGTAGTGGCCCATGATCACTGGCAACATTGTCTGTAAAAAATAAATTGATTCTGCTAAGCATAGATTTGAGCAGTTTACTAATTGTCCACATCCTACTTGAAAGTGTTTAAATTCTAATGAAATATACTTATTAACCATTTTTCTATGACTTAATCTTATCAGGTTCGTTAAATACTTACAGCGTTAAATTGCTCTTCATTTCTACCCGTTATAAGGAATATCATATTGCTACACATCGATTGTGTGGATGTGCCATCCCTGCAGAATGTATCGCCAAACCACGTCGACACCGATGTATTACCGAAAAACTCACCCGTACCGATGAAGGAGACAATTTTCTATAACAAAAGCATTTTAAAATTAAACGAAAAGTTGCAAGTACAATTTAAATGTATTAAAAATAGATGGGACTTTTTACCTCTATGTTATTAACATGCGGTGCGATGGCGTTCAACAGGGGACTCTTGTTATGTGCCATATACGCGACAGGACCGAAAGCGTGCATTGAAAGTATTTTATTGTTAAACTCGGGCCGGAGTGAGCCCATGACAAAGAACACAGTCGTGCCTTGAGAATGTCCAATGTAATGAAGTTTCTTCTGTCCCGAGGCAGCCAAAGCATAGTTTATCATAGCAGGCAAGTCAATATTACCAATCTCGTCCCAAGAGAAATGCCAGAAAGATTTATTGATTTTGGAATCGGGATTCAAGCGTATATGTCTGCGCGAATAGGTGCTTCCGCGAGCGTTGCCCATCCATACGTCATATCCTTCCTCGGCTAGGAGGTATCCTGAAACACGATAACATGATAAATAGAGAATTGTTAAATGCCTTATTTTTTTAATTAATAGTCGAACTAATTTTATCTAATGAAGTTTGTATTTTTTATACTATACCTACCAAAAGCATTACCAGGTCCCATAAGAACCCAATCAGCAGACGAAGCAAACAGTCCATGCATTAGGAATACAACAGGTTTCTTCACACCGGGCACGTTGTTCTGGTCCCGACCGTGCGGAATGCGGAACATCTGCAGGATGTAGCCATCAGATGTCCTCACGTTGTGTGATTGTACCGGATAGCCATATTTGCGGATCAGGTCAGGCTTGAAGAAAATTTTTATGATTATTCATACCTTATTTCATAATTTATTTTTAAAAAAAATATAAAATAACTTCAGCTGAGATTTTCTCTTTAGTATTTTTAGAGTAAAATTTGGAGAACTGACCGCCAAGCTTCGCTAGTCGGAGAGGCACCTTAAGAAGAAGAAGTACTTTTGATATTTTTGTAAGGACATAGCACATAAAGAGAAAAGAGATACATATCTTACCACATTCAATCTGGCATCTTCGTATATGTTATTTGAAAATCGTGATCCGAAACTATTAGCTCTGACTAACTCCTCAACGTAGTCTGCATGTGGTGACCTTCCTCCAGCCACAAGGCTCGCCACAGCAAGCAACACTGATGCTGTTAGAAGCCACATGTTGCAAATCAAAACTAACTTGCTAAATAGATCATGACTTATATACTACATAACATACTCGATAACATCGTTTTTAAGATATTTATATTAATCCATCAAATGTATCATTATTATCTTCGCATCTATCAGAGTAATATCTAATTCACAGGCAATGTTAAAATATATTATGACATGTGGGGTCGTCATTTGGCTACAAGCTCTAGATAATTTATTTAATATAGGTATTTAAATTATCAGGTATTTTAGATGTAGTTATGAAACCAAATTATTTTAGAGCCGTTTCCATTAACACGGATCTACTTCTTCGTCGTTATGGAGATAGTTTTATGCCACTCGCAATTTTGTATTTACCATTAATCTATCTATAATTGTTACAGTGGTAGAGCCCGCTTTAACATCTTGGCACGAATGGGCTGGCTCACCCGGTGTTATTACACCGGGTGAGCCAGCCCAGTTAGCCGGGTGGTTGTGGTGTTCCACGACCACACAGAAAACAGGCGTGAAGTGGAAGCAATTCCGCGTTTCGTCTGACGAATATGGTGTCGGAGGACTAATTTTTGTCGTTTTCCCTTTCTACCCTTTTCTTAAGAGGAAAGGATGGGAAGGAAAAGCGGATTTGACGATGGAGGAGCCGTAAGTCCTCTTTATGTGCGTCTCCTCCTCCTTCAATTAAGGATAGGCAACACATCTGCAATTGCGGATGTTTATGAGCAGCGGTCGCTTTCCATTTCGGTGGATTCAGGTGGCCGCTTGCTCGTTTGCCAAATTATACTATAAAAAAAATGTAAGTAACGTATTGACGGAAATTAACGAAGAGTAGGCACTATATGATAAAAGCAAAATATTCTTGATCGCAAGACAAAGATTTTATATGTTTCTGTTCATATCGGAGTAAGTGTACAAAGAGTAACTATAGTGAACTCCCGCCGAGAATTACCACCATAGGAGATTATTAGATCTTTCCATTAGCTTGCTAGCAACAATTATTGTTTGGCCGCAAATACACTATCATCACTTTGAACAACTGTACTTCATTTTAATGATTTCTATTTTTAAACGGTTATTTTAGGACAAAAAATTTTCTATCTTTCGCATTGCTTCCGATATTTTATTAGTTGTTGTGTAAAAATATTTAATGTTAATCTAAACAATATAATAATCTCTATATAACTAGAAAAACTACCAATGTAAATACATTTTGAACTGTACAAAATATAACAAAAGTATAATTTACATGTTTTCCTTATTTTTCTGCATAACATTATCCACCATAATCAAAGGTTTGCGATCTCTACTAAAATTATCCCTTATTTTATCTATTGAGCTTTATCAAATGTCTATTTTAATAATAATTAATATCTAGTTAATTACTCAACACGGATTTAGATATGGATGTTTTGATTTGTTTATTAGAAACGAATATCAAACAATTTATAGCTAATTGAAGAATCAATCTTAGATTTGTGCAGCAGAATAGGTCTACGATCTAGAAGACAGCATAGCATTGGTTTAAAAATGTTATAAAAAGCGCTTATGAGGCAAATAAAAATATGATCAATTCTTTTCTTTTAAACAAACAAAGCATATGAAAGGTAGGACCATAATTACTTAATAGATTTTTCATGTATTTTTTTGCCAATAACGCAGTTTTTTCATGAGTTTAGCCGTGACTCTAATAAACATCCATCCAACCACCTAAACTTTTGCACATGCAATTATGTACATACATATAATATTAGTCAGATACATTAGGATAAGTGCTGATTTAAGAAGCCTTATTTCTATAATAAGAACTGTAAAAACGTCTGGCTTCTAAAATGCTCCGAGTTGTCAATTAAGGAAAAATTAGGTCAAACCTCAGGGACTTAGGTATTTCTGACGCAAGACGCTTCATATTATCATAAAATTTTCATTTTAAAATGACTATTAAAAAAATGGCAGTACACTTAATGAGTACATTGTCCTTATTTAGCACTTAATCTTATATTACGCACAATGCCCAATTATCATTTTGAAATAAACTTATATTTTGTTATTAAATAAACCAAGGGATACAAAGTTAATCATAAAATACTAACCAAATGACTCCTAGGGACTTATATGAGTGTTGTTACTGCTAGTCAACCATACTGGAACTTACCTCAAGGACATAATAGTAGATGAATAAACCATGCATTAAATGTGTTTTACTTTTTTAGGATTAATTTAGAATATAACATTTTCCACTAAATGTAATCATCGTAAGGGCTTAATAAACGTGGTAAATATCAGATTTAGTTGTGTATTTAAAGAGCTCGTAGGGCTCGAAGGGCCTCAATGTAATAAATCTCTAATAACTCAGCTCTCAGATTGTCAAAACTCACAAAATTTTCAGCAAGGTAAATATAGGTGATAAATAATACTATTCTCGAATTTTTACATCTTGGCTCAAAATTTGTTATCGCTTCAGTCTCCTTTTCGTGAAAGGCCCCTCCTGTTCTATAAATTAACAATTTTAAAGACTCATGAGTTGGTAAATTTCGTATGATAAATTTGATTTAAGAGATAGGTTTCGTCAACTATCAATTATTCTTCTCGTTTTGGTGAGCTTAAGTTCTTAACTAAATAAAAGACAATCAATTCGGCAAAACGTGTTTATTAAGATTGTGCTTCAATAGACAGCATTATATTTATTACTCTGTCGTACAACAATTCCTTAGCATCTATAGCCCACATAAAATCTATGTGACTAAATAGTGGCAACGGTACAAGCATCTTAATACTTGCACCTAGTTCTTTATGAAGACGATCAACATCTTCAATTTGAGATAAGGGATCATTGTAAGTGTAATGTAAAAATGTGGGAATTTTAATATTTCCCAAATTATATCTGGGCGGTCTCCTTGCGCCATATGTGAGTACGTTTTTCATCCAGCCGTGATCGTAGCGACGGAACTCTTTGTCGGCGATGCTCTGACCATAATGCACCAGCTGTCTAGCTGCCGCTCCTGCGGGG